ATTGCATGGGTAAAATTGGACCAGTGGTTCTAGAAAAGTTAAAAATGTAAAAAGTTTTCAGACAAACAGATGGACAACATGTCACAACAGACGTTATATGACAAGGAAACCAGAAAAGCTCAAATGAGTGTTTTGAAAGGGTTACAATATGGTTGCAGTACTTGAAAAGCTGGGTTTTTTTTCATGCAGAGATATGCATGACCAACATATTCATGTTTTATATTTTCTTTAGTAATTTGTTTGTTTGTTGTGAATACATATCTCATTGGAATTTTTCCGTCATATGGAGACACCACAAAATAATAATGAAGACAAGATGTGTTTGTGAAACACTGATGTCCCTGTCTGGTAGCCTATGGCGAAGGTTGAAGTTTCTCAAATATATGTCAAACTCAAAGGTCAAGGTCAAAAGGTTCAATTGTTGGTATCAGAAAAAAGTCTTGTCACAAGGAATGCACATGTGAAATAAGTAATCCCTAGTACTTCCTCTTCAAAAGTTAATTGCCAAGGTTAATTTTTTTAAGTGGTTCAAACTCTACGGTCAAGGACAAACATATTTATACCTGTTGACAGTTCACAATGAATACACATGTTAAGCATGAAAGCCCTAGCACCTACTGATCAAAATTTAGGCCAAGTTTAAAGTTGTGTATTTTTCTTGTAAAAATGTGTATTCTAGGTCAAGTGATCAGAGGTAAAAATTAATGGTACCCAAATAAAAGGTCTTAATTGTCACAAGAAATAAACCTATAAAATGTGGAAGCCAATTGTATAGCCCATCCCACTTAAAACTTATGGGCAAGGTTATAATTTCTGCAGACAAATATACAGACATAATATAAACACAAGAAACAAAATATGTACATAATTAGTCAAATGGAAAAAAATATACTATTTAATTGGAATCACAAAATAGATTGTTATTTCAGGGATTGGGTGTGGGTAGGGAGATTGGAACCCCCCCCCCCCCCTGGAATTTCCTTTGTTATTTAAACAAGACTATATACTGAAGCAAATAAAAAATGATTTTGGACATCCTCCCCCTAACTAAGAAAACATTGGGGTTTTTTTGTTTATTTGTTTTCAGTGTATGATTTTTTTCTCCTGCTTGTCAGGAAATTCTAGGCATGAATATTTTGACTGAGATGTGAACCCCCCTCCCTACTCCCGAAAAAAATTCTGGATCCGCACCAGTATTGGCAGTAACTGAATGTCACATCGACAAGGGGAGATAACTTCACAATATGAAATTCGTCTAGTGTGGCATGCGATGATCTTTGACCCTTTTTGAACTTTAACCTAATCGTTTGGGTTTATTTTACCCCCACTATACTTAAACTTGTACTTACCGACCTCCATAGGTCTTGTAAACTTCATGAAATATAAATCCAATTATATAACACAAAATGAATTAATCCAAAGCACACCATTCTGCAGCACGTTATAATGATATTCCATTCGGAAAACCTCCGTGCCGTCGATTCCGTCACCTTATCAGATGAAGTGGGAATCGGCCGAGGTGTACCGAATGGAGTTTAATCTAAAAATATGATAATGGGTGACGCAACGTGATGTGATGTAGAATTTACATGTCAAGAACAAATTTTAAATGTATTCATAACAAACACTGTTTTAACAAAACTGTTCCATCTAGCCTATTCCCAAAAGTATGTACTGTGTGATTGTGGTGTCGAGAGGGGGGGGGGATTAGTAAATTTAAAAAGGTCCTAATATGAGCAAAACATTTATCAAAATCTAATTTACATTATTAATAGAATTCAAACTGGTATATAATGAATTAAGCATGTAAAATAAATATAAGAGGTTCTGAGTTATAGGTCACAGGGATAATTTCATACCCAATTTTATGAATACATATGTAAATTACAGGCACGTAGTAACCGGGGGGGGGGTCTTGGGGGGGGGGGGCTGCCCCCCTTTTTTTCCCAACATTACCTGTACCATAAGAAAATGTCTATTAAAAAGATGGTTGCCCCCTCCCCCCACTTTTAACCACAGTATATACATTGCAAGGAAATATGGGAAAAATTGGAAGTGAAAGTAATTTTGCCTTGAAAAAAAAGTGGCCACCCCCCCCACCCCCACCCCCCCCCATTTCATTTTTTTTCCTTGTTAATTTTTTTAGGTTAGTAAAAAAAATTTTCTCAGGTTGCCCCCCCCCCCCCCCCCACTTTCAAAAACGATGCTACGTGCCTGAATTATATAGAATTATTTTGACTTTTTCCTTGGTAAGCCGCCCGTAGGATTGTGTATTTAGAGGCAAACATCTTAGTGCGGGTATTACTGTCTCATGACAGCATCTAGTTCCATATGTCATCTACAGAATTTAGTCCCTGGCCCTACTCTGACTGTCACTGAGGGGACATTTTTACCATATTTGATTGCAAAAGTGAAAGCACACCCTTCTCTTCAACTAAGCTTGCTTAACTGCACTGAGTGTGGGACATAGTATCCGTAATATTTATGTAAAGTAAAAATGTAATAGACTGTCAGAGTTCTAATGAGATTATAATTATAATTATAATGGGCAACTGTTTCCTCATTTTTCCATATATTTATTCGTTTCTACAGTTTGTGAACAAGCTTCATCTTTTACTTACTCTTTTTGATGTATGGTAATATGGTTTTTTCAGAACTTAGAGATATAAACAAGAATATACTTCATTGGTATTAAAATCTGTATTTCGTATTGTACAAAGTGTCCTTATTTTTTAAAAAAGAAAACCAATAGTTTTGTGTGAGATGGAATTTGTCGACTAGTATAAACAAATCAAGGATTTTATCTTATTCACTTTATTTTTTCCAGGACTACCTACAACCAGCCAAACAATTGTAATGACATGTCTGGAAACTGCAATTATACCCCACTTGAGCCTAAACCTACGGCAGAAGATATCAGGATGATTATCAGAGACCTTTTTAAATTAATCGTTTTACTTTGTGTTATCATCGCTTTTAGTATAGCTATTTGCTGTTGGAGAAAAAATAATATGCCAAAGATCCGTAAGGAAATATCTGCAGAGGTTTTCCTAAAAATATATATTTTTAAAATTTTCTCATTAAAAAAAAAACGTAGTTTAAAAATAAAATTCATAACTAAATATACGTTTTCAGCATTTCTGTTTATGGCATAAAGTTGTTGAGTCGAATCAAATATACTCAATCTTCAGGATCTGAGACATGGGTCTACTATTTTTCATTCATAATTGTTTTTAAGTTAAGTTGACAAATAATATTCAGTGTTTAATGGGTAGTAATATCTGTAGAAAATTTTTATGTATGATGATGTTCGATACACGGTGAAGTCACCCTATTTATAAATACCATTTTTAGGAGTGAAACAGAATGGACACAAACTACATCTACAATTATTTCCATACTCGACAAGATGCAGAGGGAAGGTGACTTGGACAAAGGACAACAAAATAATCGACAGAAACACAGATAAATTCACAGTGGAGTCTAACAGTCTATATATTCACAACCTGACCGAGGAAGACTCCGGCACGTACGAGGTGGCTGCATCATGTAGAAAAAAACGCAACACATTAATTAGTATGTCTCATGTCTATATTTCAGATATGTCGGATCTCATTTTGCTGAGTTTTCACTTAAGACCATTTTTTGTTGCAAATACATGCATATACATGTAATCTCTTTTAAAAAGTATTAAACGTAGATTCATAATGAATGCAATGAAGGATATGGAGATAACGACCAGCATTCAATATCAAAGTCAATAATACAAAATAGGAGCAAAACAAATACAGGGACCTCCAAAACATCAGAGGTGGAACCAGGTGTCATGGAGGAGTGAGCATCCCCTGCCGACCGCTCACACCCGCCTTGTGCTCTTTGTTAATTTCGGGAAATAACGGGAAAATCCGTCGTCAATTCAGTGTATAAATAAATGACTAACAATGAGTATGAAATTTATGTATGTATTTGCTGACAAGGTCATTGTATCGGCTATAGAACTTAAGAAATGATGACTTTAATGAGACTGCTGATATTCTTGTTTCATAAACTTGTTTGTCAATAATTTACCTCATTTTTGGGAATTGTACATTTGTAGAACATGCTCTTGCGTATGAACATGCTCTTGCGTATTGATCCAACTGAGATATATAAACTCCGTATGCAGATGATGAAGGTATATTGCTGCATATGTAAGGGAAGTTGACGTTAGAAAAGTTAAAGTCATCACTTTTACTATAGAGCTTGGTTGTTAGGCCATTATTTACACGCTTAATTGCCGACGGATTTTTATGTCATTTTCTGATCATGACAAGAAGCCTAAGGTTGATGTGACCTGTCATCAGGGGATGATCATTCATCTAAAACACCTGATCCCACTCCTGATGTTTTCGAGGTCCGTATTTCTTCTGCTCCTATCTTGTATTGTTCAATGGATTTTTGAGCTTGAATACCGTCTGCATCGCCAGAAACAAATGAGTTTTGTATTAAATTCTTTTACAGAACCCACAGCTGTTAAACAGATATTTATGTCTCATCAACCTTTTTAAAATTCTTAATTACTCGTTTTCACTTCAGAGATTCGTACTGCACATCTTTATGGGATTGAGACTGCATTTACAGATGAAAGCAAATTTGATAACGATGACCAACATTTTTCATCACCAGAAGAATCGAGTTTTATAAATGTTATAATATTAAAGACAACGACCATTTCAAAATCAAACAAAAGTAAGCTGAATTAATTGTAATTTTTTTTAAATCCCAAATTTATAAATTATTGAATTTATAAGATTATTACGTTCCTAATAACGATATTTTAAAACTCTATTTCTTTTTATTGTGGATAAACCGCAGTAGCTTGGCAATTATTGACTTACATAAAAACTCCTAAATTAAAAATAGAGGGTTGATCGCCTCTGTCAGCTTGCCATGGGATCATGAAACATCGTAAACATAAGTTAAAATCTCTATGTTGTATTTATGATACAAATCAGTATGTTTCATGATCTTAGGGTCTGTACACATTAATCTTACTAAATTTTACAAAAATATACCCTAGACAAACGGCATTTTCTGAGTTATGGACGACAAATCACTGTTTCTGTGTATATGAACATGTGGCAAGACAAAAAACCCTATAAATATTATACAGTTTTTGACTGGGAATGAGGGGCAACATATGAATTGTTGGACCTAAGGTGAAAATGTTAATAGAGTCCACAGGGTCTATAGGATGAAACATGTATTTCCAAATTGACATAAATAGTTTTAACAAAGTGCATTTGGACTAATCCGAATTTTCTTTATTTTTCTAAAAAAAAAAATTAGGATATATTACATATTTTTATATGCGTCTTATATATAAATTGGTCTCTCTCTCTCTCTCTTTCTCTTATTTTCACATATGGTAGAGAAGTCATACAGAGATACAAAATGATACAAAAACAAAAAAGAAAGAAAAAAACAATTTCTACGTATCTTTGGCTTATAACTGTACTAAGATTGGAAGCATTTAAAAGTTAACATTATTGCAATTAGTTTCAAAAAATCATATTCATTTGATATATTTTTAAACGATTGTTCTCTATTTTTAATTTAAGGATGTACTTTGTTGATACCCGAAAAGAAAAACATCGTTGAAAATTAAAAAAAAAATGTCAAGATTACAGTTTCTAACCTCTGTGCTTTTCTTTTCTAGTTTTGATGTGTCTAAGACGTCCAAATGTTTAAAAATAATCTTGAGATAGATTTGTTTAACATTTTTTTTCTGCTCAGATACATTTAAAACTGTTTGGAAATTTTTTTCAACGTTTATGAGGTGTTGATTGTGACAAGACCTTTCTGAACCCATTTTGCTTTTTGAAACCGCAACCTTGATGTTTGACCTATTTTTGAATAATGTAAATTTGTCCACATAACTTGAATAAAAAAGAGATAGAACTTTCTTATCTGATATGTGCTATACCTTTGACAAGATATTTCAGAGCATGCTATGATTTTTGACCCCCTGACCTTTCTAACCCCCTGCAGTTGACAGCCTACAATCGGAAAATACCTTTGAATAGACATATTTTAGTTCGTTCATATTTGAAGCAATATGTCATTAATAATGACATTTCACCCACAAAGTTCAAAAGCTGCGAACCACTATTATTTGAATTTGCTTGTTGTATAATTTTGTTTGCTTGTAAATACATTATGACCACAATAACTTTTTTTTTTAGAGATTTTAGAGATTTTTTTCTTTCCTTTGAAATTGATACATATATATATGCCAGAAACATTTTATGATAATGATTTTTTAACAAACCAATTATTTATGCATGCTATTTTAAAATTACTGCATACATAACAAAGCGAAAAACAGCATTGATGCGATTACGATGACGCAATGTTTCGAGAGCGAAAACACGTTGCTGCAATGACATTAAGCGATGGTATACTATTTCTCTTTTGTGCTATCGCAACATCGTCATCGCATTTTAGCGCTATTTTCATCGTCATCATGCTACCGCACCGTCGCTTCATTGTTATCCTTTCTTCTTTTTCGTTTAATTGCATTATCGTGCAATTGCCCTAATACTATTGAATCCGGATACGGCGATGCCATGACGAGAAAGCGATACGCAATGATGATGATACGATTTTGCGACATTTCCATGACGATTGTGGGTTATCGCAATGAAATGATAGTAAACATCGCTTTATCGTCATCGTACAGTCGCATCATCCACCATCGTGTTACCAGTATCGTACATCGCATCATCGCAAAGGGCCCTAAGATTTTATCTTTTTGCTATTTTATATTGTACCCGTCCTTTGTTTTATATTGTAATTGTTTTCTACGTGTAAAGCGCTTTAGGGTAATTCCATAATTATATAGGGCGCTATATAAAAGTAGAATAATAATAATAATAATAATCGTCATCGCATTGATACTATTATACCATCATTATATTATTATACCATCACGTCATCGGTTTCGCACAATTAGATTTATTGACAACGAGTTTTGAGCCATTGCATCCTCGCCATAGCGCTATTGCTCTATCGATGAATCGTCATTGCAACATCTCGATGCTGTGATTGTGAAATTCATTATCCTATACGGATTCAATACAAGTCAATTTATTTCAACTCTTATTTTTTTGTAGATATTTATACGAAAGAAAACAAAAATGAAGAGGAAGAAATGTTATGGTTTCACACAATAATCCTTCTTAGCAAAAACACGTCGTTGTCAATTATTGATAAAAAAGAACTGCAAATTCTAGGTACTTTATGTATTTGGTGCTTCGAAATTAGATAAAGATATCAATATATCATAAAAAAAATTATTCGAATGTCTTCTTACTTCTACTATACTCCCATTACCACCTTTCCAACAATATATTCAAGTTTTTAGGCTTTAGATTTTTGTTGTTCTTGTTTGAATTAAAAAAAAAAAAATTAAAAAAACAAAATTTTAAAGTTGACACCCCCCCCCCCCAACACAACTGTCCCGATATGTCCTTGATAGTTTTAGGTGAGAAAACTATACATTATATTCATTTGTATTATCGAAAAATAAAACAAAAAGGGGTGAACTGAATGAATTTTGACATTCAATAATAAATTACCAAACAAAAAAAAATGTAGCCTTTTTTCTACAGATACGTAATAATAATCCAAATTCTGTTTTTTCTTATGTTATCATGAAACCTAATAAAAGTATTTTAAAAGTGATGTACTAAAAACAACATTAAAAAGAAAAGGAATGTTTCTTATATATCGTTTCATTTTTGCTTTCAAATATTTTAGGTGTGGAAACTCGAAAGATTCTTTTTAAAAATTCCACCTTTTCCAACAAATTGATAGACGAACCAGCAGCGGCAACATCATTATGGAGTAGTATAGTTTTGGTGGAAAAAACATTGAGGTTTGCCAGTGAGGACGTTGAGGCTGAAACATTATGTGTTTTGTTTCAAACAACACCTTCTCCAAAGGCCGTAATAAATTACATTTTTAAATTGCGCAAGTGAGTTAAGGCTAAATATGGAATTTTTATGCAAATAAGCTAATGAAAATTCATAATTTGTATATTTTATGTACAGAGAAGGTTCAAATTGATTTTCTGATACATACTCAGTACCCACAGTTTATTAATGCAAGTGCACATTATGACGTCATATTATGACGTCATTGTTCTCTCACATTCAAGGTATTAAATCATATAAACAAAATCACGTCGGCGCAAGGGCCTATCCTATCTAATATAAAATAAACAATGTATAATATTAAGGTGAATATTCTTAAAATTAATAAAATTGCTGCACAAATCATATGCACTTTCTCAATTGATAAAAATTTTAGGAAACTTACCCTGGACAGTGAATTTTTACCCTGTTAAAACTTAAAACTGCACGAATAGTAAGTAACCAATTGCACTGCCGACATTTGTGCAGCAATATCTTAAATCCTTGGAATATCCTGCGTCTTTTGATACCTTGTTTTTGTAAAACAAAGTAAGGTATGCCCTTGCGCCGAAGCGATTTTGTTGATGTTTCTCATAAACTTGTGTAGTACAGGTCGATGACGTCATGATATGACGTCATAATGTGTACTGGCTATCGCATGTCGTGGGTACCAAGAATGTATTAGAAAACAAGTCTTAGCATTTTCTGTGCGGTAGGTAGAGCAATTATGGAATTTAATTAGATATTTTGTATAGAAATTTCCATATGTAGCCTTAACTCACATGCGTGAAGCAGATTAACCTGTTGATGAAATACTTTCGGTTAGAGTGTTATCAACGCCTGGACACTGAACTTTGCATATATCTACCAAACTACTTATCAGATATATTTATTGGTACTCTTGTTGATGACTTTCTGCAGGAAAAAACAGTAATAGGTTTGTTTGAATATATTGATTAATTTACTTTTTTATCCATAGTATGCATGGAATACATGGCGATAACGAACAATATTAAAACTCACAGTCCATTTCTTTTGAAGATTACTTTCCTCAAGGAGCAATGACACAAAGCATCAATACCAATGAAGCTCATAGAAACAAAGAGATGGAAATTTCTAAGAAAAGAGTCAGAGACATAGAAGGTAATAAGCAATAAAATATCATGCCAAAATCAAGTACATGTATCTGTATAATATTGTATTTGTTTATTTCTGTAACCTTTTCCTGTTTTAGAGCCCTTTCATCAGCCAGGTTCGACTGTGTTTGACACCGTATTGTATTATTGCTTCATCAAAAACGCGGCATCAAAAATGTTTCTACAGAGAGTTTTTCGAACCTTTGGATATATAAGAGAGGAATACGAAGAATGCATATGTCTTTCCCCGGATTTTACCACAAAATTGATAGAAAGACTGGATATAGATATATTACTCAATAGAACTATCAGCGATACGGGCATCCATCCTCTTGTCAGTGAACAATGTAAGTATTTTAGTTAAAATAAATATTCATGCATAATGATCGAATACCATAAAATAACATCAATAGGGAAACTAAACTGATTTTTTCAGAGTTTCATTTTAATATTTTTTGTCAGAAACGAATGTGAAGAGAACGAAACCTGTTTAGCTTGCTTCTTTTCCTTAATCTCATGTTTTTGGTGATATGAATATGCAATACTGATCACTTGCAAGGCAGCATATTTCTAAATATTTAGGTGTAAAATATCTAGTCATAACTGACCTTAAATTTTTCATATTATTAAAGACCTTATGGGTCATAATAACCAGTTTGTAACATTCTGTCCCGTTTGGGATATTGGTCCAAGACTGATCAATGACGTATTCTATATCAAGTACGTGTTCCCGAAGAAGTATTGAAGTGGGTTTTTGCTGCAAGAGAAAGGTTTGTAAGAAAGATAGGAAAAGATGCAGTAAAGATCTACAGATCAAGATTAATGATCGTAGGATGTGCAGGCGCAGGAAAAACAACTCTTTTAAAAAGGCTGCTAAATAGAGATGCCGTTGAATTTCCTAAAACTGAATCAACAATTGGACTTGACATTCATGAGAGTATTTTCAAAATTTCTGATGAAACAAACACAATGATCGGTAATACATTTTCAAAAAATTAAGGTTAAACAGAAAACTGCTAAAAATCTTAAATTTTTAGGTGACAAATTTTCGTTGTTTTAGGAAAATTTATTGGTACTTAGGTGATTCGATTTCATGGATGAAAAATTATTCAGTAATTTTATATATGTGAAAAATTGAATTTTGTGGTGGACATAAACTCGAGGGTCTCTTCATACCTTGAAAATAACGATAATTAAACCCCCTTAGAAAAATAATGATTTCATAGTTTATGTTATTTTCTCTTTAAAGCACTCACTGGAGTTAATTCACCAAAAAAGGAAAAAACCTTGAGTATTACTGACTTCGCTGGACAGAGCGCATATTATGCATGTCACCAGGTTTATCTATCAAGGAGGGCGCTGTATATACTTGTTATTGACTTGTCAAAAGAACCAAATGAACTTGTGTCATCCGGGAATAATTTTTCAAGAGAAGCATTATTTAACAACTGGACGTATAGAGGTATCAATATAAAAAAAAAACAATAATAATAATTCGTTCAAAGTGTGTAAATTATATTTAACCATATTTAGCTTTTAATAGTTTCAAAATCTAAAATCAAGTAAAATTATCTTTTATCTCACTGCGCAGACTGACCAAGTGAGTTGTCTGTCTATATTTTGCCCGACGTCTGCTTGTATGTCCTCACTTTTTTTTCTTAAAAATTTCGACTTCTGTCGAAGAACCAATGGACCAATAGTCCAATTTCGACTAAACTTGATAAGAAGTAGCCCTTGTTATTTTGTTCAAATAATTAGCCTTCATGCCAAGGGGGTGCTATTTTGAATTAGTGAACAAATAATGGCATCGTTAAAAAATTAAATGCTTTTCTATGGAACTACATATTAAACTTAAGTGAGGGCATCCTTAGGGAGTCAGGATTCACTTTTGTTCATGTCATGACCCATGGCTTAGGTTGGGACTACAAATAGTGATAACTTTAAAACATCTATAAACGATACAAATAGAATACGAATACGAAGATATTTCTGTAATTATTTACACATTTGAATTTATTCAATAAAGGACAAAGATAAAATTATTGAATTGATTGATTGAATTTTATATTGTTTACCACCGAGTTGCATTTCTTTAACCATGTTTTGGAGGAAATTCATTTAATCAGTTGAGGTGAAATATAAAACATGCATGTGTCTATCGATTCGGAGCAGCTACGTTGGCGTTTTTGCAAATTCGACAGTTATTCCTTAAATAATTACATTTTGGTTTGGATAAGTTTAAGAAGGGATTCTTTTCCTATTCCATGTATTTCAAAATTAATAAATTTCCATATATTAAGGAAAACAATATTACCAAATGATGGTATATGTTATTTAGTTTGACCGTTTAATATTAGAGGCAAGGTCAGGTCAAGGATATTATCTTTGTCCTTGACACAAAAACATAGAATAATAGGTTTTTCCTTTTACATAAAAAGGAATGACCGTATACATGTAGGGTCTGTAAGATGATAAAACCAAATTGACAAAAATTATTTAAATATAATGAATACTGGCTGAACCGATTTTTTTCCTCTATTTCTTTTAGTTTGTTAGGATATATTTTCATATACCTTCTATATTTGTTTACTTATTTTCACATATGGTAGAGTAGAAATTTAAAGATAAAAAATTATACCAAATTTAAAAAGTTTTGATCTTTAACTAAGGATGGAAAACTTTTTTACGGAGTTTTGCTAAAATCTGTACATTTACTGGAAGCTTTTAAAAGCTAACATAATTGTATGTTTGGTAAATTATAATTATATGTTATATTTTAAATTGTTAGTCCCTTATTATAATTATTTATTTTACATTTGAAAATTTCATGAAGTCTTTGATTGTGAAAAAATTATTACTATACATGTATTCATTTTTCTTCAGTATTTTGAGAAACAGAAAAGACGTTATTTAAACAGGCCGCCATTCTTCCAAAAAATTAGTTCATGCTTAGTCCAGTTTATCATTTCTATTTAAATTATGCAACTGTGGTGAAGAAAGAAAATTTGATCTTTTAAATCTCTTACATCTTCATATATGAGATATATTAGCAAACTAGGAATATTTCATCTAGTCAAAAACCAGATAAGAACTTAATTTAGATCGGAATTGGCTCAAATTAAATTAAAAACATTTCTCCAAAACTACGTAATTTCATTTTAATTTCATTTTTAACAAAAATTAGTGACTAAATATCCTTAGTTTTACCTGTTTAGAACAGCAAAGCCAATTGTTATATTGATATAGAAGCATCACTAAAAATTCAACCCCCCATTCAGTGTAAAGTCTTAAATATTGAGCTGATTTGTGCTTTATTCCTAGCAATTGTGCTTAGTTGAACGATATGGCCCATAGGTCTCTTGTTGATCTGACAATTGTTTTGGGTTTCCCAGGGCGAAACTTGGACTAGCATTATAACCATGAAAAAAGTTTCAAATGTAAATAAATATTAACCCAAAAAAAAAATGAAAAATAAAAAAAAAAGATTAAAAAAGCTGGGTTATTTAGCCCATATTAAATGATTGATTACATCGTCTCGACTCAACATTTTTTTTCAGTCATATATCAGCGTTGTAAAAAAACATAACATACTCCTTCGGAATCCTCTTTTGTCATTAAACAAATGAAATGGGCTCAAAATTGCATCCACACAAAAGAAGTATTTAACATTAAAGAGAAAAGTGCCAAATGCAAATTATGAAAAACCATGAAAATTCTTGATCAAGATTATTCAAGATGTAGTAATAAAAAAAATAAATAATCTATATTTAACAGATTACAATAAATTCTGGATGGAGTCCATCAGCACATATTGTGATACAACTAGTCCAGTCATCTTAGTCGGTACTCACAAGGATGTCGTCAATGAGCACACAGAGAAGGTTATCTGAAAATTTTGATTGTGGTTTCTGTGATTTAACCAAAACTTTTAATTTTTCTATGTATCTTTTTATATTCATTGTAAACTCAAACCATTATGAGGAGAAAAACAAATTTTAAAAAAAATCTTGAAATTGATTATTTTGCTCTAAGTATATCAATTTTCCAAATTCTAAATATTTGCCTACAATGTTAAACATAAGGTATATGCCTCGAGTTTTATACTTTACTTTTACTTAAAATTAAATGTTTCAGGAAAAAAGAGATTTATAAAACCGAACCCTCTGATTGAAGTCACTTTTAGGATCTAAAATATTTTTTGACTAGCATCTACATTCAGAATATATAGTTTTGAAAGAAGTTAGGGCGCTTAACTATGACCAAATGACCTAATTTAAATCATAAAATGTAATATGATAGTGAGATAGTGAATTTAAAAACTCAATTTATACGTCAAGTAACAATTATCATATATCTAGAATTATTAAATGTATATAAGTATTAATAATTCACTTATTATAAGACAGCCATACGTTAGAACAACCATATACTTAAGTGCTTACAAAGTGTTTACTTAACAATATATTTGTTTTTTTTTTATATATCCTACATGTATAAATCAAACTTTAATTTGTAATAATTGCTTTAGAACGAAGATCATTTCGGCAGTTTTCTTTCACAACTCCCAGATGTAAGCCAATTACAACATCATCTCCACAGAAAGAACTACTTTGAGTTAGGAAAACCTGAGGAGAGCAGAGATGAAATAGACAGATTGGAGAAATGTATTGTTGACATGATCCACAAACAATCAACCTGGGGAGAAATTGTGCCAAAAATATGGGAAGAATTCGATCAGGAACTATATAGTTTGAAAAGTAAACGATTGATAAATTTTTCGGATTTAATCAAATCAAGCTAATGCGAAATGCCATCACGAAAGGATGACATTCTTGATATGCTACGATTCTTCCATGAATGTGGCAAAATTTTGTTTTTCAATGAAACTCATCTCTCTGAAATGGTTATACTTGATGTCCAATGGTTTGTTAATGCCTTTAAGGAAATTTTGACCGATGAAAATCACCGAACACGTGTTCAATCGAAAGAATGGATCTCTTTCAATGAAACAGGAATGCTGGACTATGAACATCTTACAACCATCTGGACAGAGTTAGGGCTACATGAGATGATAGAGTTTAAAGATCAAGTGTTGTTATATATGCAGCGACTCGGACTTTTCGCTGTAGGGAAGGGAAAACTCTATGCCCCAAGTGTAAATAAACACGAATTGTCTGATGAAGATTTTGAGCGAATTAAAAGAACAAATCATACCAGTATTCTAAAGTTTAGATTTCCAGAGTTCCTGCCACATTTTTACTTCTATAGACTAGTCGTAGCAAGTTTGGATGAATGGGAGGCACAGATAGACGGTAAACTTCCGCTGCTTTTCAAAAACGCTGCTTTCCTCAAATACATGGACAATAAACATCGAATAGTTTTAGGTGTAAGCAGTACACAGATACACCTACAGATATATACTTGCAACTCAAACCCATTGCAAGAAGATGTTATTTTAAAGATTCGCTGTAAGATTGAATCAATTTTGAAACAACTAACTCGAACTTTTCATACGCCTGTTGAATATTATCCCGGATTTACGTGTAAATCAACCAATATAACGGAGGAAAGCGAAGATGCTGTATTTATTCGTGAGTCAGAGGCAGTTGAGTTTTATTCAGCTGATCCTTCTGAGTCGTCCTCACCATGTCCGAGACATAACAGAGATGACCATAATCTAAGCTGGAAACAAATGCTCAAGTACTGGATAAAGGTAGTTGTCTTATTTCATTTTTATTATTCATATCTCAACAAGACTTTTTTTTTGGAAGACAGTTGTGCATTCAGTCAAAATTATTTGGTTCAAACCATAAATTTATACATTTATTACATAACTCCATGTGACTTGAGCTAGAACCATTTTGTTTATTAGCTCAAACGATTAAGGATATTTATTATACTTCTGTTAAAATGTTTGCTATAGAAAGTTCAGGAGGTAAAATAACTTTTTTTTTATAATCTGAAAATTTCCATTAAATGCAAAGCCAGATCTCTGTATACACTACATGTAACTCTATTCTTTCTTTTAAACAGAGGAAAGACCTGAATGACACATGCTGCCAGCGCTTGTTTTCCTTCAGAAGATCACGTGTGGTACATATAATTATTGATACAGAGCCTTTAAATTAAATACACTGTAAAATGTATGATTTTAAAGTCTATTGACGGGACAATATATGTGTTTAAATGTAGCATGACCTTTTGGATTTTCTCGATAAAAAAAAATCTAATGATATTTTTCAGCAAAGAAACAAATATGCTAAGTGGAACATGGGGGACATAGATGTCGAAAAAGGCGAATCATTTGTGGTGTTGATTGAGACTTGAAGATGAAAATCGATTGCAATTTTTGTAGAAAATACAATAAAAATCAGTGTAATATGCACTTTGTTGATGGAGTGTGATAGTTCTCAAATGGTTCTTCGTGGTTTGTCGTAAAATGTAACCGTCTTTGTATCTGTACTTTTTAAAGCAGTTCTTTGCCTTGCAGTGACTCAGAAACAGTGCAAGTCATGTAACTTTCGTATTTCTATACAATAACATGACTCTATAAAGTGCAAGATGATTTTAGTATTTCTCATTTGTTTGTCTGCTTTTCATGTTAAAAAGCTGGCATTTTTAAGGTTACTCAGTACTTTCTGAATCTACTTTAACGAAAGATACATCCGACCGCAAAAATCTAAAGTTTCAGACTGTAAATGTAGAAGGATTTTCTTTAAAATGATAAGAATTTGCTATTTTAAAAGATGAACAATACTTTTTTATCCTGTCATTTGGCATGGTTTCTTTAAACACTATTGTCATTATTCGGCGCTGAATTGCGCAATATAGAAAATGTGCAAAGTATTTCAAAAAATACTTAGCTTTAAGATGTTAATTTAAAAATTTCAACTAAATAGTATCAAAGAAAGCTTTATTATTTTAATTTGTAAATACATATGGTGAAATCATACAGATGTAACATCATATTATTATTTATAAAGTTCCATTTCAAACATCGACTTTAAAACTTTAAGATAATTAATATAAAAAATATGTACCTTTAACACGAGATATTAAGGTATCCGACCCATATTAGGACCAAAATTTCTAACCTTAAATAGCAATTGTTTGTAAAATATCCTGATATTATTTTCAAGCATTTTAGAGTAGAAAGGGATTTACCGAGAGAAATTTTCAAAAATTTTATTACCTAAGCAGAAATTAATCATTGAAGATTGCATTGAACTCTATGGAAGATCGAATTAAGTTTTTTAAGATAAAAAAAAATACTTCAAATATCAAAAAAGGCTGTGCTGTTGATCATTGGGAATAGAAAAATAATATGAAATAATTTTTTCACCTGACAGATTTTTTAAAATTAAGTTTTAAGTAAAATCAAAAGGAAATAAGTCATCAAGGGCAAGAAAAGGTCATAAATTAGGACATGTCCCACTCTTGCATTCTTATACTAAAAGATGAAAATTAGTTCTAACTACACTGATTAATCAGCCCATACATATCTATTATGCATTCAATTTCATTGAATCTGAGGCTAATATGGATCGGATACCTTAAATACATATTAGGGCTACCTGTATGTCTTGTATTAAAGGTCGATAATGTTCATTTTATTGAAAGAAAAATGTACGTGACCTTAATTTGTGCAAATTTTTGAAAAAAATCATGTAAGCTCGGAAAGTGCGTTGAGCTGTATATTTTTAATTAGAACGGGCTCGTCAAACTACACGTACCAATTGCAACGTATAGACTCTGATGTCACATGACGTCGTATGTATGTTGCATTAACAAATCAAGTCTGAACAGTGAGATCGTTAATCAAGTTTGATCTAATGTATATGTGCTATGAGTCTATTAAAATCAAGGTGTTTTTTTTATTGGAACGGTTGTTAGGTTCCACGAGAACGTAGTTTGCAGCTATATGTATTCCGCTAAGGATTATGAGAGTACGGGTAGTTGCGGAAAAAATCATTAGGATCAATGTGCAAAGTCCGAATTTTCTCTTCGCCCAGATGTTGCTTTAAGAGCACGCAGTGACGAGTGTCGCTGCGACTCTCGATCTCGCTATGCTCACTATTAAGTCTAATGTGAATATATTTTTTTTCTGACGAAGACTTCATATATGCTTGTCATTGTCAAATAAATCATTAATGATTCTTTAAACGTTGTCTACTTATTTCAGCAAACTTTAGACTCAATATAATGATCTAAACGATTTCTGCAAGTATCATCCATAAGATAATGAACATATAATCATTGAATATGCTTTGAAAACATTTCAAAAGAGAATTATAATGAATTTATTTAAATCAAGGATAATCCTAATTGATTTAAATGTACCACCTTACTAGAAAAATGTAGAGCAAGTTTTTTTTTTTACTGCAGCTGAAAATCATATTCACTTGAAAGATACTATATTTCAGTTCATTATACGTGTAAAACTATATAAATTCTAAACTGTATTGCTGTTCATTTTCTTAAATTGTTTACAATCGTTTATTTTAGCCCATTTCATTCGAAGACAGTGAGACGTGTCTACAAAACAGAAATGGTCGGCTACAGGGGCGTAGCAATAGGGGGGCCAGGAAGGGGGGCTGCCCCCCCCCCCCCACTTTTTTTCCCAACTTAACTTATACTATGGGAAATGTCAAAAATAATAGTAGAAATTGACAAACCATGCCTTTAAAAGCCTACAATCTTTTTACGATTACTACATAAATTATTGAGAAATGGTGAATTTATTCAAGAGATTGCAATCATGTCACTTTTTCTCATTAATAATCGTGAGATCCTATATAAACTCAAATTCCATTTCTTCAATTTAAAATGCTAAAAAGACATGCAAGCCTTTCATTTTATTAAAGTTTCTTCAAATCTCTGTCATAGTAATATGAGTTGAATTTTGTGGGATTAACAGCTGACGACTCATGATACCACATTACTTACAATAAGTACATGTACATGTAGGTCACACACTTACAAAAAATTGTTAAAAGCCGGTCATAATTTCTCATAAAAAAATAAATCATATGTGGTAAGGTTTTTCCACCCTCTCAATTCTAATGGTTCACAGTACAAAAACTGCATTTATTTTCATTAATTATAGTTTAAATATACCAATTATCGCATAAAAAACATAGGTCGTCATATTATTTAAGACGAGAGACATAAATGAACAGAAGTCTATGTCAATATGAATAATTCTGATACTAAGAGTTCTAAAATACATGCTTCTTATAGAATGTTGCACTTGGTCAGCTCAGAAATTCCCACCGTGATGTACTAACATTTATTGTTTCAACCTGTTAATGGATAGATGTCTATTACAATAAAAAGCAGTTCTTTCATCTCGAACAGTTTGTTGATAATTATACAATTCTCATTATTATTAACAGTCATGTTTTAAGTAAGTAACTCACACATTGACGGGCTAAATCACAACATTGATTCGCCAACCTGGAGCCCGTGCATCTCAAACCGGATATCACTTTACGAAATAATCCAGTCCAAAGTCCAAAACAATACGGACCGAATGTACAATTCCGAAACGTACACCCCCCACCATTTGTCCGGGGATATGAAAAAGTTCACATGTTAGTTTACATTTACACCTGTTCTTCAACTGGAAGAATCACAACTAACCGTCGAACTGATCTGCAAACCACAGTATCTGGACAACCACAATATTTAGGATGTTGATTCAGATCTTTGTATCTAAGTTTTACATCCCAAACTTTTCCATCACTTCCTGTGTTTGTCTCCGAAACTTGTGCCAGTTTCCATTGACCACGCACATTATTT